TTCTCTGGCTTCCTGGCTTTTAAACCCCTTTCTCCTGCTCTTTCCGCTTGCTACTTCGGGCGTCCCTGAGTTGTCTCTCCTCACCTGTAAGCCTGGGGCTGACTGCTCTTCTGTCTGGGTTCCTGGCTTTTTATCCCCTTCCTCCTGCTCTTCCGGTCTGCCACTCTGGGCAGGCCTGAGTTTCCTCTCCTCACCTAATCCCTTTGGCTGACTGCTCTTCTCTCTGGCTTCCTGGTTTTAATCCCCTTTCTCCTGCTCTTCCCACTTGCTACTTCGGGCATCCCTGAGTTGTCTCTCCTCACCTGTAAGCCTGGGGCTGACTTTGTCAGTTGCTATTCTAAAATAAAAGCTATTATTTATGTTCTTCTAAAGAGCACTTTAACAAAACTTCAACTATAATTTCACACAATTGTTGTTAGTTGCCATCAAGTCCATTTTTTACTCATAGCGATCACGTGTGACAGAGTAGAACTGCTGCATACAATTTTCTGGGCTGTAATCTTAACCAGAAGGCTGACGGTTCGAACCCACCAGCCACTCCTCGGAAGGAAGATGGGGCAATCTACTTCCGGAGTGATACTGCCTCGGAAACCCAAGAAGGGGTCGCTATGAGCAGGATCCCACTTGATGGCAGTGAGTTTGGTTTGGGTTTTACTCTTTACAGGACTGATCAGGAAATTTTCTCCCGAGGAGCCCGTGGGTAGCTTAGAGCCACCAACCTTTCCTTTAGCAGCCAAACATTTAACCTTTGTGTCACTAGGGTTCCTTTTCCCCAAAATTAGTAACCTATAACTCCTTTTAGGCAAAATAAGGGTATGATGATTGGAAATAGATTATGTTACATGATGAAATTAGTTATAATTTTGAAAAGGTGATTTAGTCTAGTTATCAAATGTAGCATACACTGGAACTTAGAAAATAGGTAGACAGAATTTCACAGTTGTAGTAAATCCAGGGTGATGTCAGATTCCTCAGTTGCTCTGGTTACAGCTGTATTCAAAATTTCCTTTGATGTAAATTAATCTACTTTGTTTGCTACTGGCAAGAGAATAATAAAACTAAGCTAATCATTTCTTACAGATAAAGAAAATCAAGCCCTGAGATACTAATCTGCCCAATTTCCCCAAACTGGCTAGCAGGGAAGCCAGGCTTTGAACTCTACTTCAGCTCACTGCTAGTTGTTCAAAAATGTAAAAATTTCCTAATTTGAGGCATGTGGCAACTAAGTTCTAATTCTATGATCCACTGTTCATGCTGTTAAATGGACAGGCACTTTCTCAGTCTGGGCCAGTGGCCTTCTAACTTCTTTGATCTCATCTGCTTAACAGGAAATATTTGGAAAACATCCTGATTTGGATATATACTTATCTATGCATTTAAAAAAAAAAACCTGCAGTGCCATCGAGTCACATCCGACTCATAGCGACCCGTCCTTGGGTTTCCGAGGCAATATCACTACAGAAGTAGATTGCCCAACTTTCCTTCTGAGGAGTGGCTGGTGGGTTTGAAGCGCCAACTTTCTGGTTAGCAGTCAAATGCCTTAGGCACTAAACCACCAGAGCTCCCATCTATGCATTGCAGACATAAATTAGTAACAATATTGTGTATTTAATATCATTAAAGTTTTGTTTTGCTCAATATCTTGAGAAATACTTGATCTTCTTTTAGAGAACATCGTCCTATGTCACATACAACCTACTGACATACCCAGGGCTGTCAAGTCCAAATCCCAAAGAGAGAGACCAGTGCCATCTAGTGATCCAGTAGGAAACTGCACATCCTCTGGCCTAAAGGCTTACTGCTTAGATTTACAAGTTATTTTATAAGGCTGACTCTGCCAAACACCCAGTTCCTCATCCACTTGTATTGGAGCTCAGCTCTCTGGCCTTCTCCCTCTCCTTTGTCTTTGTAAAATATACCTTTCAGAATAAGAGGAGTCTGTATTGTAACTGTCATCTAGGAGTCACTAGATTGGCCATCTTCCTTCCTGGTAACCCATTGCCATAGATTCCAACTCACACCAACACTACAGAACAGAGTAAAACTGCCCCACAGGTTTCCAAGGTTGTAATCTTCACAGAAGCAGACTGTCTCATCTTTCTACCATGGAGCAGCTGATGGATTTGAACCACCAACCCTTCAGTTAGCAGCTGAATGCTTAACCAGTGTGCCCCCAGGGGCTGTACAATTTACCAAGAAGTGCATGTTTATATCTTTACTGGCTTATTGTCAGTGTCCTCCACTAGAGAGCATGGAGTGTCCTCTATGAGGGCCAAAATCATGTCTGCATCCCAAATGCCTACATGACAAAGATTCATAAAATGTTGAATCAATTGGTTATTTCAAGATGGAGTGATTCCTTTTTTTTTTTTTTTTTTCATTCTAAGTACTCTAAGTACCTGCTCGGTGATCAACATGGATTATGATTAAAAACCAAAACATCAAACCCACTGCCATCAAGTCAATTCCAACTCATAGTAACCCATCAGGACAGAGTAGGACTGTCCTAGAGGGTGATAGCATAGTGCCTAAGGCATTCAACTGCTCACCCGAAGGCTGGTGGTTCAAACCCCTAAGTCACTCCTCAAAAGGAAGACTGGGCAATCTACTTCCATAGAGATATTGCCTCGGAAACCCAAGGAGGGATCACTATGAGTGGGCATTGACTCAACAGCAGTGAGTTTGGTTTTTTGGGTATAAAGTTTGTAAGGCTGTAAATCTTTATGGAAGCAGATTGCTTCATCTTTCTCCTGCAGAGTGGCTGGTAGGTTCAAACCACCAAACTTTTGGTTAGCAACCAAATGCTTTAACCACTCTGCCACCAGAGCTTCTTGAATTACAACTATAACTACTCACTGCTGTTGAGTCGGATCCGACTCATAGAGAACCCTCCTTGGGTTTCCAAGGCAGTATCCCTACGGAAGTAGATTGCCCAATCTTCCTTCTGAGGGGTGGCTGGTGGGTTTGAATCGCCAGCCTGCTGTATAGCAGTCAAATGCCTTAAGCACTACACCACCAGAGCTCCCAATAACAGCTATAGTTAGAAAAAAATAACACACAGTACAACAAATTGGTTAGCTTGGCCTAAGAGCCATCGTAGTGATCATTTTTAAAAATGACAAATATTTTAAAGAGCCTTCTAATGACTCACTCACTACTAGCCTAGAAGATAACTGAAGTCATGTTTATCTTGTCTACTGCCTAAAGAGAGACCCCTGCAAGGTCAGGAATGTGCTGATAACCGCAGGAAGAACCTCTGACTTCTCCCTCACACTCCTTTGTACAGTAAAGAATAGGATGCTGCAGTCACCAATCTAATAACAATTTCAAACACAGAGGTGCAGAGAAAATGTAAAAGTCAAGAAAATGTCAGGGCTCAGGAAAAATATGTGAACATAATCATGGGATTAAAAAAAAAAATTCACTGCCGTCTAGTCTATTATGACTCATAGTGATCCATCCTTGGGTTTCTGAGGTGGTATCTCTATGGAGGTAAATTGCCCCGGTCTTCCTTCAGAGGAGTGGCTGGTGGGTTTGAACCTCCAGCCTTCTGGTTAGCAGTCAAGTGCCTTAGGCACTACGCTACCAGGGCTCCTAATTATGGGATAAGGTTAACTAAATTTATAACGAATAGTTGTTGAAAATGTCATGAGATAAATAGACATACAAACCTGACAGCCAGCCACTGGCGATCCACCAGAAGATGAGCTTTGTCAATTCTGACATTTTTGGCATAATGAAGTCGTTTTGGTAAATTAGGAGTCAAATATGGTTTGAAATGCTGGTCAGGTTTTCGACACTGAAAAACAAGTCATTGTTTCTTCATGAAACATAACATATGCAAACAATTCAACAATTTCACCTTCTGGAACTATTTGTTGTTGGTGATGGTGTGTGTGGTCAAATCAATTCTGATTCACAGTGTCCCCACAGGACAGAGTAGAACTGCCCCATAGGGTCTCCAAGGCTGACACCTTTACAGAAGCAGACTGCCATGTCTTACTCCTACAAGCGGCTGGTATGTTCAAATGCCAGTCTTTCTGTAGCAGCTGAGCACTTTACCACTGCACCACCAGGACTCCTTAGATTATTTATTAAGCACTTTTTTAAAGTAAGGGGATTAAAGCTAGTAATAAAACAAGAATGTTAAACCTATTATCAGTATGGTCATGCTTCCTAATTATATTGTTATAACAATTTTTAGGTTACAATTAAAAATCTTATTTAAATTATGATTTGTTGCTTGACATTTTAAGTTTTATTCTTGTGTATATAATTTAAACCACTATAAATTCCTCCTTCTTTGACAGAGACTATGTTTAAGTAGTAAGTCTTGATTTAGAACAGCATTGCAACTTTTGAGTCTAAATTACATATGAAAAATATATAAGATAATAGTATATATGGATAAACACTTATAAAATTCAGCTTAATTAAACTAAGAATTCCTTCTTCATTGATCCAATTTATCTTTTAAATGACCTACATTTGTTTACTTTTCAAATCAAGTCAGGAGTTTTTGAGACTTGGTACAGTCTCCTTTTTTTTTGAAAAAATCATGAATTTCACACAAATTGGGGTGAAATATTATTTCTTCAAAAATTACCGATGTAACTAGATGGTGTATCGTTAAAACTATATAAAAAATAAGAAATCACATTGTTTTTTGTTCACAGACAAAACTGAGTAAATGAGAAACAGAACATCAAAGCAACTCTTCTCCTTCATGACCTTTTAAAGGAATAAGAGGAAAAAGAAATAAAGGTAAGAATATGTGGAAATAATTTTTTTCTATTTCCTCATTTATTTCAAATAACAAAAGAACTACAAATATACTTCTTTGCCCCTCATGATCTTTCTGAGGAACAAGAAGGGAAACAAAACAAAACAAAACATAAGGGTAAGAACATGGGGAAATATTTTTATTTCCTCAATTTTCTCATTTATTTAAACCTCAATATCTCATAAATACTGAAAGTCTAAATCACTAAAATCTCATGCTCAATTAGTATAAGAACAAATAAGAGAAATGATGAAATTGAATAAAACAATTTAAAAAGAAAATGGGAGAGCAAAGAGATATAAAATGAAAGAGTAAAGAAAAAAGTATTTATTGCACATATTTTTGTCAGTTTTCTCCTCCCAATTTTGGTGTCCTGGTCTTTTACAGGCTTCTTATTTTTCTACCTTTTCATTTATCATAACTTCCTTCTTAAGTCAATAGTTTTGCTAATTTCCAGGCAGGCACATGATAGTAGCTGTTAAGTATAAACCTTCTCCCAAGATGAAAGGGACTAGAACGTGCCCTAAGAACCACATATGATTTGACAAGTCACACCTTCCAAGCTAGAAAGTAACCAGAGCAAACCTAGAAAAAATTGGAGGGCCTTTGCCTATCTCTGAAGAAGTAATGTGGTTAATTCTTGCATTTCACAGTTTAGGATGAAGACACCAGAGTTGGGATTTTCACAGTTTAGGATGGCATTTCACAGTTTAGGATGAAGACACCAGAGTTGGATTTTCTCTGAACACAAAGTCAATGCTGGTGTCTCTCATGTAGCCAGAATGTAGTGAAAACTCAGAGTTGGCAGTTCATGTTTAGGTTATGTTTGTCCAACATGAGCTCAATACTGGCCCAAAGAATAGCAATACTGGGAATACTGTACCACTCCAAAAATATTTCCCCAAGAATAATGGCCTACTCCATGAAATGGTAGTTCATTTCTTTGGGCCTCTGCCCCACCATGTCCAGGGCATAGCTGTAGGGCCATATAATAGATTTCCAAATCTTGAAGTGCCCTGCCTTGCCAACAGATTTTAGCTATTGAGAACATGAAGTGATGGTGTGAGGCCTGAGTCCTAATGGCCTCCAGGTATATCTTTAACCAGAAGTCTTTTAGTGTCGGGGATTCTAACACTTCCCATGCCTCAGGGCTTTTATCTACCCTCCGGATTCAGCACGTATCAGAGATTTGCCTGGCTCCTGAAGTTTCCCACGTATCAGGGCTCTGCATCCTCCCTAGATAATAATTCCCTAAGTAGACTTTGGAGCTGGGGAATTCCAACACGTCCCCCAACATCTCAGATCCCTGCCCTAAACCCCTTAGCAACAACCAATCATCTGTACCCCTTTGCCCTGGTGCTACTCCACCCTATATTTTTCCTATAAAAATGTGATAGTAAAGGAGCTCGAGGTCTTTTGCTTAGGCCACTACGTTGGCAAGAGCAGGGACCCTAGCTCGAGCTAGCAAATAAACTTTTCTTTCGCTTTTGCATTACCGTGTTAGTGGTGGCTTCCTCGCGTCAACATTCCTTTCCGAACACAGGCTCAACAATGGAACAAAAGGAAAACAGTGTATGGACTTAGAGAATCCACATATTGAAAATCCTGAACTATAATTTAATTATTCAATGAACCTGAACCCACTGAATGTATACACTTCACCAGTAGAGGGTGAAATTGTTTATCATGTCTGTTCTCAAGCTCAGGATATTACAAGGTGTTTCAAACTTTCAGTGGGTTCCTTCCACATTATAAAATACTGCTTTAAGCTATCGTAACTTTGTCCTGGTCGTTTACTTACAAACCACAATGTGAGAACCAATCAAAAGCAGTTGTAACTATGCTTAGGGAATAAGAAGATGATTTGTTTGATCTGTACAAAAAAATTTATGAGTCTATGATCCACATTTTCTGATATTAAGTTACACAAAAAAATGAAAAGCTAAGCTGCCTGGCACTCTTGAAAAGAGTCTTTTTGAATAGGACATCTGCCAGCTCAATGAAACCAGGAATCAGTGCCACCACTGTTTCCCTAAACTAACTTCCTGTAGTGGCATCAAGCCCAAAATGAAAACAACTAAGACAAAGGCAATTGATGATAAATATTTAAAACAATGTTGATGGATGGTTTAAAAAATAAATTTCCAGTGGCTTGGATTCAGAAATATGGAATAAAAATTTCTATAATTTATAATCTGAAGCCTAAGTTGTTAAGACCATCACATTAAATTAAATAAATGTGCTGACAAGACTATACTTACACTGAGGTTCTTAACAATTCCTTCAGAGTCAACTGTTTCAAAAGAAAAAGAAAATCATATCACAATGGTTACAAATATGTGAACAATTCAAGTGAATTTGACATAGATTTATTAACAACTATTATCTGCTAAAATTAAATAAAATATAATTTTAAGCAAAGAATCACTTGAGATTTAAGAACACTGTAGAATACACTTTAACCTAACAATATTGGATGTTACCATGAACTTTATAGACCATATCTATAAAGACATATGTAGACATGCGAACTTCTCATCTGCTTTTCTGTGGCCTTCCCAAGAGACGAGAAAAGAGGTCTGACAGCTCTTTACATCTTCACAGAATCAAGGTGCTATGGCTATTCACTTTTGGTTTACTATGTACTTCATATGGGAAACTTCACACTTACAAGTATAGAAGTCTTCAGGTATATTACGAGACCTGATACGAGGCGAAGGCCCTTGATACATGTAGAAGTTTATTTGGGGAAAATAATCTGTCATAAATTCCACCTTGTCACAATAAGTCTGATCCATTCCTGAATCAAAAGCAAACAAGCATTATCTACTGAATGTACATAGGTAGTAACAATCTATGATCCTGGATCATAACACGTAGGACACATTTTGTTACTAGACCTCAAACCAAATTTCAATGATAAACTATTCAATTTATCCTATTATTATACTCTAAATGGAAGAATTTGAAAATAGTGGTGTGGAGTAAAGGGTCATATTTATGAAAGAATAAGCAGTTATAAATAGATCATCTGTTTAATGAAGATTAATTAGAGAATTTTGAAGGAGAAAATATTCTGTAGGAGGCTAATTAAGACGGAAAAATATCTGATCTATACATAAGGCAACATAATATATTTTTAAGTTAAAAAAGCAATACGTAGATCAGAAGAGAGAGAATGCAGAACAGAATTTCAAATTCTCATGTAATGCAGACTTTTTCAAGCCAGAGAGGCTGGATGAACCCTTAAAACTATTGCCATGAAATAGTTTAAGTTTTAAACCAAAAACATGCTCTGAAGTCTTCTTAAAATCAAACAATGGCTTAATTTAACTGGTAAAGACTGTCTGCCTTAAGCATTATGCTCTTGTAAGATCTGTCTGTACGGGCTCAAGTTGACAACAGCAACTCGCAAAGTTAGACAGGAAACTTCAGGGACAGTGTGTTTGTATTAATGGAGGAGGAACAATTCGGAAAAGGAGGCTGAGGATGATTTCATAACTTGAAGGATGTTCAAAGTCACTGAATCATACATGTAGAAATTGTTGAAGTATGTTCTGCTGTGTATATTCTCAACAACAAAAAAATAGTCATAAGAAAAAAGAACACGTACTTTTATAGAACAATATGTTAGGAGAATAACAATTAGATTATGTTTACATTTTGTAGGTGTATTGTTTAGTAAGAACCATGTGATCCAAAAAAAGATTTGGTAGTTAAAACCTTTTTATTTGGAGATTTTTCAAATTGTATCTTAATTTTTATTTGTATCAGGTTTTTTTTTTGGTTTGAAAATACCTTTATTTAATATCTACCCTCACTTTAAAAAAAAAAAAAAAAACACTTTCTGCATGTCCATTTAATGACATTGATTGCATTCTTTGAGCTGTGCCTCCATTTTCATCCTCCTTTTCTGGGTTGTTCAGTGCCCTTTAAGGTTCTTCCCTAATCTTCTAGGTTATTATTATTGACCGCATATAGAGAGTGCTTAAAAGACCACAATGCTCAAGGCAGAAATTCCTTGTAACAAAATACAGGTATGTTTCCCTTTAATTTTAAAACACCAGGCAAAGTGTTAGGGAATCATTTCAGAATTTAAAAAAAAAATGTTATTACGTTTCTCACTACCTTGATGTCCTAAAATAAAAACAAATGTCCTGCAGACATGCTGTTCCTGTCACCTGGCCTCTTCTCACACCTCATGCCCTTTCCTGTTCCCTTCACAGCTTTTAAGAGTTTAGTGTGACCTTCCTCCTCCAGAAGATGGTTCTGAACATACTGTCACTAAAGGGCTATGTCATCTGTAGGTACCTCTGAACACTCCATACTTGGAAGGGTCCTCAGTAAGCACTAATAACATCCTTGTTTTTAAGTGTTTAATGCGTGCTTTAATACTGTGTGAAGGCAATCTGTGTGAGGTGGGAGAGGATGTGGTAGCCCTTCCACTACCTTTAACAATCAAGTTAAATGAAATTAAGATGAGGTGACAAAGACTTTATAGATGAAAGCTATGATTATATACTATGTATCTATACCTATATCTATAGATAGATATATTAAAAACCAAACTCACTGCTGTCGAGTAGGATCCAACTCATAGCAACCCCTCCTTGGGTTTCCGAGGCAGTATCTCTACAGAAATAAATTGCCCAACCTTCCTTCTGAGGAGTGGCTGGTGGGTTGGAACTGCCAGCCTTCTGGTTAGCCTTAGGCACTAGGCCACCAGAGCTCCATAGATACATAAATCACATTACAGATAGATAGATATAGATAGATAGACCCCTCCTTGGGTTTCCGAGGCAGTATCACTACGGAAGTAGGATTGCCCAACCTTCCTT